CCCACCCCCCCACAAAGTAAAAAAGGAGAAAGGCAAAGGAGATTATAACAGTGAAAAGAGTTACTGTATGAAACATCATGGTGGAGGATGTGGATCCTCTCCTGGAGTTGCAGCCTGTAAAATTCCAGATACAAGGACAGAAAGAAGAAAGATTAGGGGGCATGTTTGTGGATTCATGAATAGCACGTTCTATAAACAAATCATTAAATATCCCATCTCTTATCTGATACACGTATATCCTACCCCACTGACTGCAGCTGGATTCCTCTCAAGCTACAAGAGAAGTTTAGGATCTGCTCTCTGCCTGAAGAACAAATTAAAAAAAAAGAGCACACTCTGCACTCATGGTGATTCCAGGGTGCAATATTCCCCCACACTGCTGCATATTAACTACATCTGCAAGGCCTCCCCCAGGTAAGCTCACCATCCCTGAAACAAAAACACAAAACCACAAAAAACCAAACCCACAACAAAATCACCTGCTTCAAATATGTAAACTTGCTACTGTAAGTGGAGACAACATGCTCATGTGTTTGCTACATTCTTTCTCCAGCCTCCTTTATGATCTAGAACTTAACAGATCTTCTGGCATCTGAATGTATTTTCTAGGCATTTTTGCATCTCACCTCACATGCCATGTTAAGGTGATGAGACATTACTGCACCCTACCAGGAGGTCAGTTCAGCAGAACCCCAGTGGCAGACACAGAGCTAGGAAAAGGGACTCCTTTAGGGACAGCTCATGCACACACTGTACAGTATAATGTATTTAAAATACACACTAGGATCTCTCAGATACTAGTTTCTGACTCATGATCTTTCTTTCCCCTGATGCCTCTGTGCACATTAATTGTGAAATACATGTTATGGTCAGTGCCTTTCATCTGCAGCCAGACATCCCCAGGGTGCTGACACCAGCAGAACCCCTGAAGGCACAAGAAGATACATACACCTCCCCTTTACCTGTGACAAGGGAGCAAGGAAGCATGCTGGCTTATTATTTTTAAGAATCGAGTCTATAAAGATCTCAGTATTTCTCAAGGAGAAATCTTGCCCAAGATTCTGATCTCTCTGACCCACTACTCTAATCCAAGACAGAACAACCTTGAGACTGCCAGAGTGCCACTGCATGGTGCTTATGGTGCTCCAGTCTGTCACAAACCTGGCATGATCCATCCCTAGATCCCAGCTTGATACAGAATATGCTCCCTGACACAGGAAAACAATTGAGACAGTGACCCCCCATAAATCTTAGGAAGCCTCTGACAAAGCTCCCTTGGATGCTCCTACAACACGAAAGAGAGGCTGGTCTGAAAGTAGCCTTGGTGCTTGGTGGCAGCCTGATGCTACAGGAGAGGTCACAGAAACAGAGAGTGTGAGACTCTTAATTCCTCAGCTACATGGTCCACCCATCAAAATCTCTCTCCTTTCTCACCAGTTTTGCTTCTGGATTTTGTGAAGACATCTGAGCAATGTCAGAGGAAGCACTTTTCAAAGTCAGGGTGACATAGGTGGTCAAGATCTGCAGTTGCAGAAAGACTCCAAGCCCCCCCCACAGGAGATGCCATTCCCAGACCAGCAACAGCACACTGTGGCAGAGAATCTGCACTGTCCCCTAACTCCTGACCCCAGTGTAGGCAATGTCTAGAGAAAACAAAACTGCAGCTCCTCCCAGCATGTTCTCTCCTCCTACCACAGTGGCAGAGTTTTCCTCCCAGCTCTTCAGTGTAACACCACAAGGTTACCCAACGGGGTTCATCGAGCATGCTGTGACAAAGGCCTTATACCCAAGTCCTATTTGTCTTTGCTGAGGGCCTACAGTACTGCCCTGCCAGCAAACACAGGCGTCAAGAAAGGGAGGACTCCTGCATCTGTCTGCAGTGTCCCCAGATGGGCCATCTGGCACCAGGACTGATTTAGCGAGAGAAAGACTCACCAAAGCATCTAGAGAACAAAACCATCATAAGGGAGCTCTGAAAAGAAGGCAGGAACCAAACTGGCTTCAGTCAAGCAGTAACACAGCTTATCCTACTGGCTTTTCTCCCAAGAGCTACAGGGCACCATGCCATGGACAAGATCACAAGGATGCAATGAAAACATGCATGGAGAAATAGGAGGTTCTCTGGCATGGCATTTACACTCCCTCATCCATTCTTGAGTCAACAAGCCCCGTTAAAAAGCAAGATTATTTTTCCCAGATGCCAGAGCAATAATCTACCAAGGAAGCAAAAATCTGGCCAGCTTTTATTATATCTATGAAAAATTGCAAGAGAACTTGACACATCAGAAGGAAATCTCTGTTCCCTATTCCTTATAACTGAACTACGAGGCAAACGGTAACAGTGAGGTGACAAGTGTGGGAAGAGCTTGTTCCTACACATCACTTCAGGCTCTCATAAGAGCTGGGACTGGGTTGCAAGAAGTGAAGAGATGCAGCTCGGTGCAGCCAGAAACAGAGACAGCCTGTCTCTGTAGCCCCAGTTCTGGCAGCAGCTTGGGAAAAAAGGCCCTGTGGAGAGAAATGTCAGTTAACGAGCACCTCTTAAGACTCACAGCTGTCCTAGACTCCATAAGAGGCAGCAGTAGGAATCCTTCCTGAGACTGCTCTAAATAACGCCCAGGGCCCAGCAGTTACTGAGGATAAGAGTACATACTAGAGCTCTGTACCTTTTACAATGTCTACAGAGACTGGGATCCTGGACTCAAAAGTATACCAAGATTCTGGGGCTCACTGTCAGTGACAGTCTGGAATAACCTGAGTTAAGAAGAACCAGCTACAGCAGTGGAAGGACAAAGTCAACCTGATACAGGTCTGTCCTGACTTCAGGCACAAGATGTTTCATTCAGCAGCCCTGAACATCCAGCCACAGCACAGGTGTCATCCAAACAGCACAGGCCCTATCAGCACCATTCTCACCAAGGCCAGGACTGCAAGGAGGGTGCTGAGGGATACCACACCAGCACATCAGAGTAAAAGTGCTATTGGAGTGTGTATCTAGAGGAGCAACGACAGAAACAAATGCAGTAATAATGATACAGGGAGACAGACAGAGAAAGGTTCAGGCTATATTTGTCCTTAACCTCCTCAGTGACATACACATTCTTACCACCCACTGCCTTGAGTTTTCCAAGTTCACAGGACGGAATAAGAGCAGTTACCATGAAACACTTTGAAAATCCTTGGAAGACAGACAGCATGTAAGTACTATTGCTTTATTTAGTCTGCTGTCTTTGCAAAGCACATTCACAAGTCAAAGAAAAAAGCACTCTGGTAAATAAATTTTTTTTTTTCTGAATTCTTACACACTTTAGGAGCTCAACCAACTAAATGTTCTCTGGTTTCCAGTGATGATAAACATCAACTACATGTCCGAATATTGAGGACTCTTGGTCTTTCTCAAACAACGATTTATAAAAAATGGGTAATATGTGGGCTTTTACCTATGTGCATTCTCCCTGGTGAGATTCACAGCAGCCTCCTCTTTATCCACAGCTATCACCCGGCTCTAGGACAGAAAAAAAACACACCACCAAACAAGTATTGCAACATCAAGGTTCCTGAGCAGAGGAGCTCTGCCAAAAAGGACATGCAAGATAAAGACCAGCAATTGACTGTTCACTCTTGGCTCCTAACAGGAATAGCTCATGAAGAATGCCTCTCAGGGTACTGATGGGATCACGAGTCACTTCTAGGAAGGCCACTAACGTGACAGAAGGCACTCTGCAACACTGCCAACAGTCTACCAAAATAGACAGGCTGCTGACCAAACTGCTCAGCTGACAACAATGGAGTCACACTGACTCACATCACCTGGTATGTTCATAGCCCCTAGTAGTCTGAGACTCAACACTCTGGCTTGTCTGGAGTAGACACAGCTTAAAGGAAGATCAAGTTCTAGGCTTCTCCTCTCTCATGCAGACAGAATCCCTCCCAGCACTAACACAACAACTTGGACAGTGGTTCTGGCATTTTCCATCTGTTATACAGACACCTTTTGCCTAGTTACTCCACTGCAGTCCTTACACCACTTTCACTGTGTGTATTGACTGCATGTACTTGACTGTGTATCAGGTATTTGAGAGCCCTCCAGTGTACACTAAGAGATAAGACTACACAGTTAGAGATTTATTTGACCTTCCAATCAACCTTGGGAAAAGTGCAGGCAAAGGCCTGACTTGTTTTTGCTTTGCTTAATGTTTTTTTGATGTTTTTTGAACACAGATGTTGGTAAGTACTTATATAGAGGAAGCATGCTTAAAGAAACTGCTTTGCATTTGGAGATGAAGGTGTGACTGGCCATCATTCCTAGGAGGATTAATTTTACAGCCTGAGACTAGAACCCACACACATGAAGCTGGCCCTTAAATTGAAGGACACAGCTGAATCCATAAGCAAAAAGTTGCTGTTGTCTTATCAGTACCTTAGGGCCAAATTCTGGCTCAAACACTAAAGAGATCACACAGAGTGTAAACTCCAGTTAGCTGTCAGTGTGGCTACCACTAACTCCAATCAGTCAAGAGTCCTTATTTGTCTGGGCACAACAGTTTGTGTTAGCCACCTGGGAAAGGACTGTTACCAGTTACAGGACCAGACCGACAAAGCTCTTTAACTTAACAGGCAAGGAAAAGAACATAAAGTACAGCTCAGGAAATCAAAGTAATTATACTTTAAAGTCATGTAGCTCAAGTATTAACCTTATTAGGTCACTGGGAGGAAGAACACAGGCATCAACATATAATTCTTACACACCAAATCTTATACTTCTCCAAGAGGAGGGGTTGGCAACAGCAGTTCTCGTTCATGAGAAGGAACTAGCCAGTCTGCAATTCTGAGAAAAGGGGAATATTTTTTCCCCCAACCACATGCAAAGAGATCTTGGATTCAATTCTCTTTCTGCCTACCAACAGTATCTCAGTAATCATGTTACATGCCACAGTAATCAGAGGCAAGAAGGGCTTCGGTCATCCAGATTTTAGTCCCCTTCCTGCTCTTTTCACTCTGTTCAAAAGGTGTGGGTTGTTATTAAAGAACAAAAGACTTAAAAAAAAAAAATGGTTTGGCAGTTGTGGCAGTGTGACATATGCTTGTCATATTGATCCCAAGTACAGCCACTTCCATGGTAATCCCTTCCCTGCATTCATTTAGTCTTCAGTCTCCTAGAGACAAGATCTTCTGATTCACAGTAAGGTGATTTTGAGAGTTGACTGCCCCATAAATTCGACTAATAGAGTGTGTGTCCGTGCCTCAGTCCCTCTTGTCCACAGCCCAGGATATTAGCTTAAACTAACACCCACCAGTGCTTCAAGCTAAGGTGATTAATAGCGAGCTGTGACAGCTGAATAATGAACACATTTGCTTCTTTCATTCTGACTATGTCTCCACTACTCCCACGGACAGCTGGGGAGAGCAATTCCTAAATATCCCTCTTCTACCTAGCATGAACTTATAGAGCCTGTTAGAGACCTTAGCTGCTGAAGTCCCACCAAAACAAAGAAGGTTGTCTACAAAGACTAGTAGAGTGGGATTGTCCTGTAACACAAGCACACTGAAAAAAGCTCACCTGTGGCAGTTTGCACAACAGACTCAGAGCAATTGCTCCAGAGCCGCAGCCAATCTCCAGGATCATGGGATGAGGGACAGGAACTGGGAAGCAGAGGTCTGAATTCTTCTCACATTTTCGAGATTCTTCCTCCAAAACTAAAGAGACAAGATCCTAAGAAAAAACAAACAAACAAACAAAAGATCCTAACAAAAAAATCAAACCAACCCAAACATTTCTATGGTTACTGTTTAGACTCACACCTTTATGGTCTGAGGAGTGGAGTTAAATTTGAGTCTGTAGCCCAATGAAATGTATTTTTGTTGCTGATTTTTAAAACACAGATGGCAGCAATGGAACTGACATGCCAGAAGTCACTTTAGTTCTATCTCCCCCACAGGGTGCTTTGATTAGTAACCAAATCCTCAGGATACAATTCCCCACAAATCCTCTGAAATCTTCTAGCACTGTTGGGAAAAACAATAACCAAACAGCTGGAGCACGTTATCTTCTGCAACAGAATTTTATTTACTCCAAAATTCCAGCTTTCAGAATTTGTAAGCTTCAAAAATCTAAGATTTTGATACTGTCTCAGTATGGTACGTAATGTGGAGGCAGATGCACAACTCTTAACAGCATCTAAAAAAATAATCCAACCTGCAGATACAAAGCAAAGACAATGAATTACTAAATGACCCAAATGAGCTGGATATCAGATTGTGGATTTACTCATTTTGTTGGCATGAAGTCACATGGAAAAGATTTTCATCCATGCTACTGGATCTGTATGCATCTCTGCCATTGCTGCCTCCTCGCTCCCATCAATCTACTCTTTTTTAAATCCCTTTACAAGTTCATATAAAATCCAACCAGCAGCAGAGGTCTCAAAGACATACAGTTCTAAGGTTTGTGAAAATAAGTGAATAGCTACAAGAGAAAGCACACATATGCCTCTCAGGCTGCAGCACAAACTTCCCTTGATATTCACCAGAGAAAACTGTAAGGCAGAAACCTTATAAACAACTTGAGTGCATAAGCAGCTTCAGCAGGTGCTCACAACTCCCTACAATCCTTGTGTTTTCATGGCACGACAGTGCAGAAACAAGGCCTTACTGCCCAAGGTGCCTCCATGATGCCTAGGTTACTCCACTTGAGAGGTCTGCTCTTGGATCTCTCCTGTAAATCCAGAAAACTTGACAAAGTTTACAAAGAATAACTGGCTTGTTTTTGCCAAGAAGACATTACCAGGGAAATTACCAACCTTTCATTTTTACGAGGAATCTTGCATGTTCTTTGTATGTGCAGGAATATTATAAAGCAACACGTCCTGGAAGGCAGAGCAGCTTCTCTTTAGTAAAGCAATGGCCTTTTTCAGGAGCCTAAACTGAGCAGGCTTGTACATAAGGGCATAAGCTCTTCCTTGGATACATCACCCTAACTGGGGTGCAGTGTAATAGATGCCTTGTGCAAAGCTGTAGTTTTTATGAAGATATTTGTTGCTGTTGATCATCCTTCTTGCTAGGCCAATTTGCATCTGCAGTAAGTAGGGAGGGAGGATGTAAACAGATATAAAAATGAAGCCTTAGAGATGAGGAAGACTAGGGAAAATGCGGGCCTTCTCCAGAAGGAAATGGGAGACATGGTCACCTAGGACATGGAGAAAGCTGAGATACGCAATAACTTTTTTGCCTCAAGCAAGGACTCCAGTCACACCACCCAAGGCACAGAAGGCAAAGACTGAGAGAACGAAGAACTGCCCACTCTAGGAGAGGATCAGGTTCAAGACCATTCAAGGAAACTGAAAGGGTACAAGTTCAGGGGACCTGATGAGATTCCTGAGGGAACTGGCAGGTGAAGTGGCTAAGCTACTATCCATTATATTTGAGAAGTCATGGCAGTCTGGTGAAGTTCCTGCTGACTGGACAAGGGTAAACATTATCCCATGTTTAAAAAGGGAAAACAGGAAGAAGAGAGAACTACAGGCCAATCAGTCTCACCTCTGTGCCCAGCAAGATCATGGAGTGGATCCTCCTGGAAACTCTGCTATGGCACATGGAAAATTAGGTGATTAGTGACACCCAACATGGCTTCACTAAGGGCAAATTGTGCCCGACTAATTTGGTGGCCTTCTACAATGGGGTCAAGGTGCTGGTGGACAAGGGAAGAGCAACAGACATGGACTTGTGCAAAGCTTTTGACACTGTTCTGCATGACATCATCAGCAAATTGGAGAGACGTGAGTTTGGCAGATGGACCACTAGGTAGATAAGGAATTAGCATGATGGGCACAAAGAGTTGAGGTCAACAGCTCAATGTCCAAGTGGAGAGCAGTGACAAGCACCATTCCTCAGGGGTTGGTGTTGGGACTAGTGCTGGTGACATGGCCAGTGCAACTGAACTAACGACAGCAAGCTGTGTGGTGTGGGCAACACACTGCAGGGCAGGGATGTGCCATCCAGAGGCACCTGGGACAGGCTGGAGAGGTGGGACCATGTGGACCTCATGGAGTTCAACAAGGCCAAGTGCAAGGTCCTGCACATGGGTCAGGACAATCCCAAGCACAGATCCAGGCTGGGCGAGGAGTGGATGGAGAGCAGCCCTGAGGAGGGGGACTTGGGGGTACTGGTGGATGGAAAACTGACCCTGAGCCAGCAATGTGTGCTCACAGCCCAGAAAGCCAACTGTGTCCCGGGCTGCATCCCAGGGGGATTCTTCCCCTCTACTCCGCTTTTGTGACACGCCCCCTGCTGTGCTGTGTCCAGCTCTGGGGCCTCCAGCATAAGGAGAACACAGACCTGCTCAAGCAGGTCCAGAGGAGGCTACAAAGATGATCAGGGGACTGGAGCACCTCCCTGTGAGGACAGGCTGAGAGAGTTGGGGGTGTTCAGCCTGGAGAAGAGAAGGGTCCAGGAAGACCTTATAGAGGCCTTCAAGTACTTAAAGGGGCTACAGGAAAGGTGGGAGGGACTCTTTATCAGGGGGTGTAGAGGTAGGACAAGGAGTAATAGTTTTAAACTGACAGAGGGTAGATTTAGATTAGATATAAGGAAGAAGTTCTTCCCTCTGAGTTTGGTGAGACACTGGCACAGGTTGCCCAGAGCAGCTGTGGCTGCCCCCGCCCTTGAAGGGTTCAAGGCGAGGTTGGACGGGGCTTTGGGCAACCTGGGCTGGTGGAAGGTGTCCCTGCCCATGGCAGGGGGGTGGGACTAGATGAGCTTTAAGGTTCCTTCCAACTCAAGCCGTTCTGTGATGAGCTTTAACAAAATATCCCCTGCAACAGAGCACCTGAGACACAGGCTGTAAAAGTCAGACAATATTTTCTAAGGTTTCCCACAAAGACATGGATTGCTTTTAAACATATTAAGGTACTATGCCGCTGCATGCAAGCACGTACCCAGTGCTTAGAGAACAGAAGTGAAGCTTGTACTACTTTACAGTCCAAGATGGAAAACCAGGCATATTTCAACATTATCTGGGCCTTGCAAAGCCAGGCAGCTTTAAACCACTCCATTTTAATAGAACTGTTTGCCTCTTGATTCCTCCTGCTGAAAGCATAAGACGGAAAGATTTGGTTTATTTGAACGTGTAAACAGTCCATATTTCTAGTAACATCACTACTTCTTCAGATCAGCTTTTCTGAGCCTTTGTCATTTTCAACTCAGCTGTGTTTGGCTTTGCTGCTTTTCTAGTAGCCTGGCTCTGCCAACAATAGCCTTTCAGGAACCACTGTTCTCCTGGATTTTCTTTAGGCTCCTCTTCACAGCCTTTTGGGGCCTTCAGAGGCTTTTTAACAACAAGCACCTTCAACTGTTTCCATTGTTTTCTCTCAGATCTTCTCCAACTGTTGAGCTGGAAATAGCCAGAGATGCCCACACCTTTGCTCACCAGACACTCAATGACAACAGCCTCTGTGCTTCTCCAGACTGTGCCCTCTGCCTTCCACAGCTTCCAGTGCCCCTCAGCAATGAGCTCTGCTGTGCTCATACCCAAAAGCCCAAGAGGGAACAAGAACAGCCCACAGGCTGGAGGGCACTATCCTGAGAGGCCTCACCCAGAAGCGTGTCTTCACTGCAAAGTTAAGTTTGGTGACTGATACCTCAGCTAGCCTCAGCCAGTGTGAGGAGCCACTCTGCAATGCCCTGCTCCAGTTACCATGCTGTTACTGGCACTGCACTCAGAAGGGAGTTTTGCTAACAGCCTCCAAAAAATCACATATTCCTTTTTACTGCTCAGGGATTCCTTTCCTAGACAATTATGGAGGAAAATATGCAGAATCCCAATAGGACTGTAGGAAACCATTAGAGGACTACCAGCACTCAGATAACAGGGCAAAATAAAACAACTTATCTACCCACTTTTGTGGTAGAAATGGCTTTTGCCTTTCCGCTAACAGCTCCAGATGAATCATTCTGAAAACACTTCTGCAATGGAGACAGCCAGAGATTGTAACCACAGCTGGTTTGGGGAAGCAGGTCCTGATGATTCCCAGACTACAGAAGAAGAGCCACCCAAAAAATTCTTCTCAGACATTAAATCACTCTTTTAAATACCAGCCATTTCTGGTCACTTACAAGTATTTCCAGGAAATCTCTGCAGTAACTCAGAAGAACCATCTGTCTCCAGGGCTGATCACAGGGTAGCACAAGTTATCGATTACAAATGTTCAAATATAACTTCCATACAGTAAAACTACTGTCAGCATTTATTAACTTCCTTAAGGCTTCTCATTAGTAATTTCAAGCTTGGAGTTTTTAAATGGAACTTCTACTTTACACATTCCACAATGAAAGTATTTTAGCTTGCCAAAGCTCCTACTTAAACATGACTGATTTCAGTTTCTACCACATGTATATTAAAAAAGGGATGTTGGTATTACATAGGCTTTGTATCCTACTTCCTGACTACTTTGCTTTTCATATACTGAGGAAAAGGCTAGTTAACTTTCCTAATACACACCTTTATTATAATAGTTCAAAATGAAAATGTATTAAAAATAATGTAGCATCCTAAAGAAACTACATCCTTTTCAGGACATTAGTATCTCACTACAGTCAAAAAGTTCAATAAGTATGAAGATAAATTCTTTTATGAAATAAATTCAATCGGCAAGCAAAACAGAAGGTATATTCTAACTGACAGGGAAAAAAATTACTAGTACAGATTATTCAATGTTG